GAGGCTTCGGCCGAGACACAGCACCCGCAGCACCACCAGCTTCAACTCTGGCAGAACCCCCAGCTCCAGCAGCCCCACGTTGGAGGCTGCAACGCTGAGAGTACCACTCACGCAACTGTTGTAAAGAGGGGGCGCCACCAGGCGCAGCACGGTCAGTCTCAGCAACCCCAGGCGCAGCACCGCCAGTCTCAGCACCCCCACGCTCAGCACCCCCAGTCTCAGCACCCCCAGGCTCAGTACCCCCAGTCTCAGCACCCCCAGTCTCAGCACCCCCAGACGCAATACCTCGCGCAAGACCAGAGTCGACAGCTACCTCGACAGGCTCGTCCGGGTCTACCTGGGAAACACCTGAGGGAGCAGGACCCTGGGGAGGTAGGGGGTCTACCGAAGCAGCACCTGGCGTGAGGAAGAGCGGCGGAGGGGGGAGCGGGGCAGTGCGGTAGGGGAAGAGACGGTAAAAGGGGACCGTCTCGTCAAACGTGACGTCCTAAGAGGGCAGGACACGGCGCGAGGTGGGGTGGTAAAACTGCCAGCCAGGCGCGTCAGGGACAAAGCCAAGGAAGACACAGGGAACGGCACGGGAGGAGAGCTTGTCCGCGGACGTATCGCGGACAAAGGCACGAGATCCCCAGACCCGGAACACCGACGCATCGCCAACCTCCCCCGTCCAACGCAGTGTGGGCGAGGTCTCCAGAGCAGAGACACGGGGCCAGAGGTTGAGCTGATGCGCAGCGTACTGCACTTCAAACGGCCACAGGAAATGGGGGGCAGCCGCATGGATCATGGAGGTACGAGCGACCTCCATGACTAAGCCAATGCGGCGCTCAGCAACCCCATTCTGCTGAGGAGAGGCCGGAAGTGTGAACGTCTAGCGGATGCCGTGCTCCGCACAGTAGGCTGCTAAGAGGTCGGAGGAAAACTCACCACCCCTGTCAGAGTGCAGACGCAGGACGGGAAAGTCCGACTGGAACCGCTCGCGGAGCTGGAGACGAGCAGCGCGGATCCAAGGGATCAAAACATTAGGGACCTCACCCTTGGTGCGCAAGGGGAAGACCGTGGTGTAGCGCATGTAGTCGTCGACGACTTGCAGGAAGTACCGCTCGTGGCCCTGTCCACGGACGCGGGCTGGGCCCCACATGTCTAGGTGGAGAGTCTACAGGGGAGCCTCTGTGGGAGGGAACGAAGAGGAGTGAGGAGTGGCGCGCTGCCGCCCCTCGACACAGGGAAGACAGGGAGGAGCAGGCGAGGGTGGGAGGGGAGGGAGAACCCTGGGAAGACCAGAGACAAGGTACCGGGAGTGCATGCCACGAAGGCGCTGCACTGAGGGGTGACCAAGGCGGTGGTGCCAGAGGACGGTCTGGTGCGACACAAGCAGGGGGCGGACAACTGACCTGACGCAGATGCAGACGCCGCTACCTGAGGGGACTCAGTGGTCAGTGTGTACAAGTCCGACCCCGGCTGCCGAGTGAAGGTAGCCAGGTGACGACACGTCTGAGCACACGTGCAGTGTGTCACACGCTCATAGGCAGGGGTGAACTGGTGAACACCCACGTCCTGGACTGCAGAACCCGCCACCAAGTCCGTAGAGAACGAGGGGAGGTAAAGGCCCGACAGTGTGCCGGACGGGACAGCAGGACAAGGGAGGGCAGTGGTGGAGGTCGCAAGGACCGGACCCCCCGGAGGGGCCAGCCAGGGAGATAGCAACCGGTCTAGGGAGCTGCTCTAGGGCAGTGCGGTCGCGAAAGGAACAGTGGGAAGCACCTGAGTCCAGTGTAAAGGTGTGCAGTGTCTCAGTAGACGTAGTACCTGAAGGCGCAGACTCACAAGCACCTGAAGCAGCAGACTCACGAGCGCCTAGAGCAGCAGCCTCACCAGCACCTGGAGCAGGAGACGCACGAGCACCTAGAGCAGCAGCCTCACCGGCATCTGGAGCAGCAGACTGGATACCGGGGTCAGGCGGCACACACAGGTGACAGGCTCCCTTGGCACTAGTAGACAATGCATACATTCCAGTGAGAATAGCATCATAGTCAAGAGCAAAGCTATCTACCCTCTACATAAGCAGCTCCACCCAGTCGGGAGCTCAGCGTCGTCGCCAAACTCTGTACGCCAAGCGTCGCTCAGACGGGCGAAGCAGCGAGACTCTGTGTGACCAGGCGTCCCGCAAGGCTGACCAGTCCAGACACCCGTGCTAATAACGTACGGGCAGCGAGCAGTACTCAGCGACCCTGTACTCTGAGCGTACCACTCACGAAGCTGCGGGGGCGAACGAGTCTCGCGCAGACGACGCTGCTGCTGCACCGGGCCACTACAAGAAACTCCCGAACTACCCACTTGAGGATGACTCCCTTTAATGCCACCCCGACAACCCCAACTGGCGTACCACTCACAAAGCTGTTGGGGCGTGAGGGACACACGTGGACGGTCCTGGAGCTGCATCTAGCCACGCCAGGAGCAGCAGTAGAAGCAGTAGCAACAGTAGTAACAGTAGTAGCAGCACAGGGCCGGGCAGTGCTCACTAGTGGTGGGAAGGGCAGGCGCACGGCGGAGGCGACTGCGGGGCCGCTACAGCGGTAGGGCGGGGCCGCGACTGCGGCAGGGAGCTCCGCGGTCGTTGCTGCAGAGCGGGACCGGGCCGCGACGATCGCTGCTGCAGGGGCGGCTGCTGCAGGGGCCAAGGACGGCTGCTGCAGTGGCGGCTGCTCCAGTGGTCAGGGGCGGCTGCAGGTGCGGCTGCTACAGGGGCCAGGGGCGGCTGCTGCAGGGGCGGCTGCTCCAGGGGCGGCTGCTCCAGGGGCCAGGCGCGAGGTAGGGCAGGGCGACGCGGCGGGCAGGGGCGACGCGGCAGGCAGGGCGACGCGGCGGGCAAGGCAACGCGGCGGGCAGGGGGCGACGACGCGTCAGCAGCTGGGCGCTGCCGCGTCAGCAGCAGGGCGCGGCCGCGTCAGCAGAAGGGCGCGGCCGCGGCAGCAGTAGGGCGCGACCGCGTCAGCTGCAGAGATGGCGGGGCCACGTCACGGCAGGGCGGGGCCGCGTCCGCGTCGGCGGCAGGGCGGGGCCGCGACCGCGGCAGGGTGGGGCCGCGTCAGCTACAAGGCGGGGCCGCGACTGCGGCCTGACGGGGCCGCGACAGCGACGTGACGGGGTCGCGCGCTGGCCTGACGGGCCTGTAGAGGCTGCGTGCGGGCGGCGAGGGGCGGCGCGCGGTCGGGCAGAGGCTGCGCGCGGGCGGCAAGGTCCTGCAGGGGCAGCGCGCCGACCTGACGGGCCAGCAGGGGCGGCTCTCGGGCCTGACGGGCCTGCAGAGGCGGCTCGGGGCCCTGACGGGCCTGCAGAGGCGGCTCGGGGGCCTGACGGGCCTGCAGGGGCGGCTCGAGGGCCTTACTAGCTTGCAGGGGCGGCGCACTGGCCTAGGGCAGCAGGAGGCAGCGCGAGGGCTGCAGGACAGCACGCGGGCAGAACGAAGGGCGGGGTGCGCGAGGGCGCACTAGCAGAAAAAGGCGCACGAGGGCGCACGAGCAGAGAAAGGCGCACGAGGGCGCACGTAAGGTAGGGCGCACGAGGGCGCTTCTAGCGGAATAGTGGGCTCGTAGTAGTAAGCGGTCCTAGGTGGCAACCTAGGCTCGTGATACCATGTCAGAATGAACAAGAGTGATTGAACTAGGAAAGAGTTGGGTACAAGTAGGAAACCCTAAACTTACTGTACCCCATAGCAACTACCCCACTACAGCCTAAACAAACTGTAGCAAATATGACATTTGACAGTTCGCTGCAGTGAAAAAGACTTCAACATCGAAAAGCCACCCCTTCACTATAGTAGTCTTGTCCGTATGATTGAACGGGGGCGGGTTTACGGGTTTAATCTCGATCGTTGTTACTGCAATTGGCATCACTGCCGCTCGATGCTAATCTTCTTCTTCGAACTTACGTGTGAGCTCGTCCAACGGGTTGCTCACCGCTTGACTGTTGCCCTCGCCTTCTTTGTCGGGCGACTCCTGACGCGTTTCACCTAGCGTCTGGCGTAGTTTGGTGTTTTCCACATGTAGTGTTGTTACTTCTGCCAAGAGATTTTGCACTGTTGGTTGTAGCTCTGCCATTTGCGCTAGCATCTTGTTCAATGTCTCCTGGTCCATGTCTCGAACGCTTCGTCTGGTGGGCAGCGGGATATCCGTGGCCTTCAGGCAAAGGGAAAGCAAAAACTATCGGAGTCGGGCAGGTTAGGATTAACGAACCTTGCAGCCAACCGTTTTGCAGTCCCTTCCCGTGCCACCAAACTACCCTTGAAAAGCGGGGTGAACTAGGAAAGTAGCTATGATACAATGTGTTATGAGTTGTAAAAGAGAGTGCGCGAAATAACGAACAACGAGGCTGTGACTGAATGAACTGACAATACAATGGAGGTACGCGCTAATATAGTGACTACCCTAGCTAGGAGGGAACGTTGGGAAACGAGGTTGGGTGCAGGTTTGGCGATCGAAGAGCCGAAGGCGACGTGAGGAGCCTCGGCAGTCGGCTGAACGTGCAGAGTCCGAAAATCGGGCTGTACGCGTAGCAATCAACCCCGATAAGGAATTCGGGAAACTTCCTTACACATTGAGAGCACAAAGTCTAGCCTAGTAGCCCCAGTATCCTTCTGGCCCATCACATCTTTGCACTTCCTAAAAGCCTTTACGTGTTAGAGAGTGTTCCGTATTCCGTTGAAAGCCCAAGACATGAATTACAAAAAAGGAAGGCAAACTGTGCACAGTTTGCCTACCGAACCCACAGTTGACCTCCCGAGCCAGGCTGGTTACCAGAAAACAAAGCGCCAAAAAACAGAGTGTCGTAGAGCAGAACGGGTTTGGTTGGCGAGAGTCCCAACCACACCCACTTGAAGGAACAAGGGCTCAAAATGTGCACAGTTTGCCTCCTTTGGTAATTCAGGTCGTGCGATTTCCATAGTACGCGAAGCGATTAGATCATGCGAAGAGATAGAATAAAAAGCCACTAAAGCATAGGCCATGAGCATTTTCACATTTAATCCTAGCCCATCCCCAAACATCGCATTTGGACCTATCGCCTTCCGCGTCCCCCACGCTTCTCCCCACCGTCTCTCACACACCTCCCCACGCACACGCCCACGCTTCCCCTCACCGTCGCCCACGCTTTCCCCCATCGTCGCTCACGCTTCCCCTTACCTCCGCTCACGCTTCCTCCTGCCTTCCCCCACGCTTCCCCACACCGTCGCTCACGCCTTCCCCCACCTTCCCTCACGATTCCCCTCTCATCGCCCACGGTTCCTCCTACCGTCGCCCACGCTTCCTCCCACCGTCACCCACGCTTCCCCCCACCGTCACCCACGCTTCCCCCCACCGTCGCCCAAGCTTCCCCCCACCGTCGCCCAAGCTTCCCCCCACCGTCGCCCACGCTTCCCCCCACCGTCGCCCACGCTTCCCCCCACCGTCGCCCACGCTTCCCCCCACCGTCGCCCACGCTTCCCCCCACCGTCGCCCACGCTTCCCCCCACCGTCGCCCACCGCCACCGTCGCCCACCCCCACTATCGCCCACGCTTGCCCTCCCATCGCCCTCGGTTAGACTTCCCGCCGACCTCCCTTCTCTCCCACCTCTCTCCACGTCGTCATCACTCCCCTGCCCATCCCGTTCCCCCTATTCACCATCGCGTCTCCACCCATGCCGCCCACCCTCTCATCCCTTCCCATCGCATTTAGGGTCGTCGTTGTATCCCTTCCAAATTGCCTCGTTAGGTCGCTTACGCTCTCCCCATTACCACCTTCTCTACTCCTACCATCGCCCATGGTTACCACCCCACCCTTGCACCCTTATTTCCTTCTCTCTCATTCTCCCTCCCCATCAGCCTCTCACCCACCCTGGGCGGGGAGGTATGGCGAGCTGGGCTGGGAGCTGGGGAAGGGGTCGTGACTCGTTCGCTGTGGGGTGTGGAAGGGTGCGTGGTCAGCAGCACCCACCCTTCTCTCTCTTGCACTGACCTCCTCTCCTCTCTCGCACCAACCCCACATGCATGGCAGGTGGTGGTGCGGCTTTGGAGCAGAGTGTTTGGCGCACAGCCAGGGCAGCGCGTGCAAGCGGGCAGCAAGGAGTGCAGTGCTGCAGGGGGCGGGTCAGGGGAGCGGGGGAGGCGGGGGTTAGGGAGAGAGGGTACAGGGATCCTCCTATCCCCCGTTCCACCCTTATACCCTACCACACTTTTACCATACCTCCTGCCCTCCTCCCTTACTCCGTTCCGTCGTTCCCCCACGGTCGTCCTCCTCTCCCTCTCCCTTCCTCCCTTCCTCCATCTCTCTGCCTCACTACCCTCTTTACCCTCTCTGTTGCTCGTCCTCCCTTCCTCCCTTCCTCCATCTCTCTGCCTCCCTACCCTCTTTACCCTCTCTGTTGCCCGTCCTCCCTTCCTCCCATCCTTCTTTCCTGCCATTCTTCCTCTCATCATCCTCCCTCGATCCAGTCCCCCTTCCCCTTTCCATCTCCCACTCTCCCACTCCCTTCCTCACGCCAACCCTGCTCCTCCGTTCCACCCTTCTACCTTCCCCCTTGTACCCAGCCGCACTTTTTCCTCTCATCCGCCCATCATCTCATCCGCCCATCCTCTCATCCGCCCATCATCTCATCCGCCCATCATCTCATCCGCCCATCATCTCATTCGCCCATCCTCTCATCCGCCCATCATCTCATCCGCCCATCCTCTCACCGTCGCCCACGCTTCTGCCTTAGTGCCTTTCCGTGCTCTCTCTCCCCTACCCACACTTCATCTCGCTCACCCTTCCGCCCTTCCTCCGTGTCTCCCTTGCTCATTTTCTGCCTCCGTGCATTCTTTGTTCCCCACCCTCCATCAGAGTTTGTGGTTTGTGTCTGTGCAGGTCTGCCATGCATCCAGTTGTGATGAGTATAGGGTTTGATAATATTAGTTGTCTACAATAGCTATGCCATGTACCGTTATTGAAGTTGGTTGGATGCGTCTCATAATACACCACATCGTGATTTGGAGCATTATGAAAAAGTGCAACAAAGCAAAATAATGTTCCATTTATGTTGCCAAGACAAGACTACCGGTATAAGCACAAGCACAAAGCTAGGAGGTGGTAACTTTTTAACCCACTCCTGTTGGGACCCATGGTGCTGGCACCTGTACACGCATGGTTCTGTATGGAACGGGGAGGGAAGAGGGGATATGGCAGAATAAGCGAGGGGTGAAGGTGGAGGGCATGTATGGGAGGAGTTAGGCAGAGGAGTGAGCGAAGCGGGGAACAGAGTGAGCAGAGCAGGGTGGAGAAGGCGGTGAGCAAAGGGGATAGCCAGTAAGCATGGGGCTAAGGAGGGGAAATGAGAGGACTTGGGGGGGAAAAAGGGTTGAACAAAGGGGAATAGAGAGTAAACAGGGTGGAAAGATGGGTGAGTACAGGGGGAAAGAGAGTGACCAGAGGGGGAGAGAGTGAACAAGGGGTAAGGGAGTGAGCAGGGGATTTTAGGGGCGAGCACAGGGGGAAATAGACCGAGCAGGGGGGAAATGGGTGAGAAAGGGGGAAAGAGGGATGAGAACAGGGGGAAAGAAAGTGAGCAGGGGGGAAGAGAGTGAGCAGGGGGGAAGAGAGTGAGCAGGGAGGGAGAGAGTGAGTATTGGAGTGAGCCGGGAAAACAGGGGCGAGCAGAGGGGGTAAGAGAGCGTGAAGGGGGGAAATGGGGGAGGTGAAGGTGACGGGAGGGGGAAGTGAAGGCGACGGGGAGGGGGAAATGAAGGCGACGGGGAGGGGGAAATGAAGGCGACAGGAGGGGGAAGTGAAGGCGACGGGAGGGGGAAGTGAAGGCGACGGGAGGGGGGAAGTGAAGGCGACGAGAGGGGGAAGTGAAGGCGACGGGAAGGGGAAGTGAAGGCGACGGGAGGGGGAAGTGAAGGCGACGGGAAGGGGAAGTGAAGGCGACGGGAGGGGGAAGTGAAGGCGACTGGAGGGGGAAGTGAAGGCGACGAGAGGGGGAAGTGAAGGCGACGGGAAGGGGAAGTGAAGGCGACGGGAGGGGGGAGTGAAGGCGACGGGAAGGGGAAGTGAAGGCGACGGGAGGGGGAAATGAAGGAGACGAGAGGGGGAAGTGAAGGCGACGGGAAGGGGAAGTGAAGGTGACGGGAGGGGGAAATGAAGGAGACGGGAGGGGAAGTGAAGGCGACGGGGAGGGGGAAATGAAGGAGACGGGAGGGGGAAGTGAAGGCGACGGGAGGGGGAAATGAAGGAGACGGGAGGGGAAGTGAAGGCGACGGGGAGGGGGAAATGAAGGCGACGGGAGGGGGAAGTGAAGGCGACGGGAGGGGGAAGTGAAGGCGACGGGAAGGGGAAGTGAAGGCGACGAGAGGGGGAAGTGAAGGCGACGGGAAGGGGAAGTGAAGGCGACGGGAGGGGGAAGTGAAGGCGACGGGAAGGGGAAGTGAAGGCGACGGGAGGGGGAAATGAAGGAGACGGGAGGGGAAGTGAAGGCGACGGGGAGGGGAAGGCGACGGGAGGGGGAAGTGAAGGCGACGGGAGGGGGAAGTGAAGGCGAGAGGAGGGGGAATTGAAGGCGACAGGAGGGGGAAGTGAAGGCGACGGGAGGGGGAAGTGAAGGCGACGAGAGGGGGAAGTGAAGGCGACGGGAAGGGGAAGTGAAGGCGACGGGAAGGGGAAGTGAAGGCGACGGGAAGGGGAAGTGAAGGCGACGGGAGGGGGAAATGAAGGAGACGGGAGGGGAAGTGAAGGCGACGGGGAGGGGGAAATGAAGGCGACGGGAGGGGGAAGTGAAGGCGAGGGGAGGGGGAAGTGAAGGCGACGGGAGGGGGAAGTGAAGGCGACGGAAGGGGGGGGAAGGGGGGGGGGGGGGAGTGAAGGCGACGGGGGGGAAGTGAACGCGACGGGCGGAGCGAAGGCGACGGGCAGGGGTCGCGAACGCGACGAGCTGCGGAAGCGATGGCGACGACGCGGGCGACAGAGAGCGGAAGCGTGGGACCTAGGGAAATGAAAGCGAGGGCGAGGGGAGGGTCACGCTTGGGCGAACGGGTGCGATTCGATTTTCGCCGCGAGTTTACGCTACGCAGTAGTTGCACAATAAAATGCATTTCGACACAAAAATCTTCACCCAGCGAGCACTAGCTTTGCGCGTCATCATCAAAATCCGTGCCACCCACATCGTAAGGCGCATCTGATCCCTTTTGAGTGAACGCCGACGCCCTGCCCTGTCTACAGGTATGGTCTATGCCTAATACTCTGCGTGCTATCTCAAACTGTGCACAGTTTGGTATGCACGTGCTTTTCTGGTTGTGGGAAGGACCCCACTGTAAGGAAATTCCCTTTTCCTTACTTCGCGTCCCTGCTCAACGCGTACATCACTGTAGCACCTCAGTCAGCACCTTTACCACTCGCGACCATCGCATCATTCATCATCCCGCCCTTTTCGCACATCGCATCCCGACCTCACAGCTCGGCTGGTAACCCGCGCTCCGGACCTACGCTTCGACATTTTCCCAACCTCAGTCCCAGGCTCGTCGCGCGACCATTACCGTTACCACTGTAGTTTCGCTATATAATGTTCGCTCATGCCTTCGCTCATTTGTATTCTTGCTTCGATAGTGCAATTCTCGTTCGTTCACTCAATTGCACTCGTAACACTTGGTATTCAGAGCCTACGATCTCATCTCGGACCGCATCCACACCTTCGCTTCCCACTATCTCAATTTTTTGGGGGGGGTAGACGTCTCTCAGCGACACAGCACCGCCGCTCGTAGTGCTCTCTCGAAAGCACGCACGGCCACGACCGAGGCTCTCGCTGAGCTTGCCCGACACCCCCGCCATGGCCGATTTCAATCTCGCCACGTTGACGCAGGAGCAACTCGATCGTCTCGTGCGTCAATTGGAGGATTCGGCGCTCGAAATCGCGACTCTCACGGCGGAACGTGACTCCGCCCGTCAACAGTCAACGGTGAACGTACCGACGCCATCACACGCACCAACCAATGCATCTGCACATTCGGAGGAGCCCATCGTCATCTCATCCGGCACACCAACGCAACACAACAGCACGGGACAGCGCTCAGGCGCAGCCAGTGACAGCGCAGCCCAACCGATGCCCGGCATGGGAGGGAACAGGAGCGCACTAAGCCCACGGGAGCCTCGAGAAGCCCGTCGGCACGTGGAGTTTGCGGCGACAAGTGGCGAGAACGCCATGATGGCCCCAATGCCACTCAAGCCGCAACGCCCGCCCTGCTTCGACCCAAGCCAACGCGGCGGCCCGACAGTTCAATCGTGGGTCTTCACGATGAATGTGTTTTTCGACGCCAACTACGTCGAGTCGGACGCCGCCAAGATCCGGTATGCGGTTTCACTACTCAGGGGCCCCGCCATGGACTGGTGGCGAGTCATTGTGACGTCGCCGCGCGCCTACGAGCCACCGTCGCACGAGGAAGGGCCCTCGGGTCCAGCTGTTACCTGGAGTTCGTTCTGCGAAACCGCCCAATACAGCACGTGGGATGCGTGGTGCGCAGGGCTTCGGGCGCGCTTTGAGCCGATCGCGGCCTCGATTTCGGCGCGTCAGAAACTGCGCACTTGGCGCCAGCTCGGGTCAATTCAAGACTACACCAGCGGGTTTCTCGCACTTTGCGAACAGGTCGGCTACATGCACGAGGCGGAGCGGGTGGACCGTTACGTCGGAGGGCTGAAGCCGGACATCTCGCACGAGATAATGCTACGCGGGCTCTCGAATTTCAACGAGATCCTCGCGCTCGCCGAGAAAATCGATATCCTACGCCGACCAAGACCGGGGTCCTATTACGGACATCGTCCTCGGAGACCGACCGAGCACGCCACTGTACATGCCGTCGCAGCGAATGCAGCTGCCGCGCCGTTTAGAGGGCGCTGCTTTGCTTGCAACCGGCCGGGCCATCGCAAGAGCGAATGTCCAGAGGAACTGAGGCGTCGAGGAGCAGAGCAGGGGAGGGAGTCTCGGAGGCAGGGAAACGCCAGCAGTCAGTAGAAGTTGGGCCAACTACTGACGAGACTGCCTGCTCGCCCAACCACACCGACCCTCACCGAGTCACAGTACCGATTCACGCCATCGATCGGGCTCGGATGAATAAGGAGGGTACAGCGACGGATTGCCCGGTACTGATCTACGGGAAAATACAAGGAGCAGCAGTGAAGATCTTCATTGACGGAGGAGCAAGCCACAGCTTAGTTAATACCGCAACCTCACGAAAATTACAGTTAACGCTTAACCGATGCTTACCTGAGATAGATGCACGCTTAGTCGACGGCACGCCCCTGGCCATACGGGAAAAGGTGGAGCGCGTAAAAGTCCGCTGCAGGGGGAACTTCGGGTTTACACAGGAAATGCTCGCGACGACACTGGATGGGCACGACATTTTATTGGGACGTGATTGGCTGCGACGGTACAACCCACGGATCGACTGGACGACGGGGAGCTGCACAGTGCGAAGTAGTGGTAACTGGGTCGTTCTACCTCGCTGGCAGCCACCCAAATCTTCGACGGTCCAGGTCAACGCCATCACGATGAAACGGGCTGTCGCTGCTGGAGCTGACGTGTACGCAGTGGATATCGCACTCGTAGAAAAAGATGAGCAGCCGAGTGATTTGGAGAAACTGCTGGCAACTGTACCGACCGAACTACAGGCACTACTGAAACAGTTCCCGGGGATATTTCCGGATGATTTACCACAGGGACTGCCACCTCATCGGGCGCACGACCATAGGATCGAGTTAGAACCGGGGGCACAACCAACTGTACAGCGGCAATTTCGACTGACACAGCCCGAGCTCGACGAGTTAAGGAAGCAGTTAGATTACCTGTTAGAGAAGCAGTTTATCCGTCCAAGCTCGTCACCGTTCGCCGCACCGATACTGTTCACACCGAAAAAAGACGGAGGGTTCCGCATGTGCATCGACTACCGAGCGCTTAACAAGGTAACAGTCAAATCGCGATACCCCATCCCCCGCGCCGACGAACTGATCGACCAACTGCGAACAGCACGAGTCTTTTCGAAAATAGATTTACGGGGAGGTTACCATCAGATTCGGGTCGAACCATCGGACTGCGCCAAAACAGCATTTAGGACTAGGTACAGGTCATTCGAGTATACAGTAATGCCATTCGGGCTGACGAACGCGCCTGCGACATTTCAGATGACCATGAACGAGGCGTTTAGACCACTTTTAGATAAATGCGTGATAGTTTACCTGGACGATATTCTAGTTTACAGCCGGGATAAGCAGCAACACTTAGTGGATCTTGAAGCAGTTTTTAAGGTTTTGGAGGAACATCGGCTACTCACCAAGGGCTCCAAGTGCGAGTTTTTTCGGGACAGGCTAGAGTTTTAGGGTCACGTCATTTCGGAGGCTGGGGTTGAGATTGACCCAAAGAAGCTGGATACGGTAAACGCGTGGCGCCCCCCGACGAACATCACGGAACTGCAGAGTTTTTTAGGTTTTGTTAATTACGTTCGACGGTTCGTGCCTGACATGGCACGTTTAACAGCCCCACTCACTGATTTACTGCGTAAGGGGGCCGCTTTTACGTGGGGGGAGAAAGAGCACAGGGAGAGAGGGTACAGGGATCCTCCTATCCCCCGTTCCACCCTTATACCCTACCACACTTTTACCATACCTCCTGCCCTCCTCCCTTACTCCGTTCCGTCGTTCCCCCACGGTCGTCCTCCTCTCCCTCTCCCTTCCTCCCTTCCTCCATCTCTCTGCCTCACTACCCTCTTTACCCTCTCTGTTGCTCGTCCTCCCTTCCTCCCTTCCTCCATCTCTCTGCCTCCCTACCCTCTTTACCCTCTCTGTTGCCCGTCCTCCCTTCCTCCCATCCTTCTTTCCTGCCATTCTTCCTCTCATCATCCTCCCTCGATCCAGTCCCCCTTCCCCTTTCCATCTCCCACTCTCCCACTCCCTTCCTCACGCCAACCCTGCTCCTCCGTTCCACCCTTCTACCTTCCCCCTTGTACCCAGCCGCACTTTTTCCTCTCATCCGCCCATCATCTCATCCGCCCATCCTCTCATCCGCCCATCATCTCATCCGCCCATCATCTCATCCGCCCATCATCTCATTCGCCCATCCTCTCATCCGCCCATCATCTCATCCGCCCATCCTCTCACCGTCGCCCACGCTTCTGCCTTAGTGCCTTTCCGTGCTCTCTCTCCCCTACCCACACTTCATCTCGCTCACCCTTCCGCCCTTCCTCCGTGTCTCCCTTGCTCATTTTCTGCCTCCGTGCATTCTTTGTTCCCCACCCTCCATCAGAGTTTGTGGTTTGTGTCTGTGCAGGTCTGCCATGCATCCAGTTGTGATGAGTATAGGGTTTGATAATATTAGTTGTCTACAATAGCTATGCCATGTACCGTTATTGAAGTTGGTTGGATGCGTCTCATAATACACCACATCGTGATTTGGAGCATTATGAAAAAGTGCAACAAAGCAAAATAATGTTCCATTTATGTTGCCAAGACAAGACTACCGGTATAAGCACAAGCACAAAGCTAGGAGGTGGTAACTTTTTAACCCACTCCTGTTGGGACCCATGGTGCTGGCACCTGTACACGCATGGTTCTGTATGGAACGGGGAGGGAAGAGGGGATATGGCAGAATAAGCGAGGGGTGAAGGTGGAGGGCATGTATGGGAGGAGTTAGGCAGAGGAGTGAGCGAAGCGGGGAACAGAGTGAGCAGAGCAGGGTGGAGAAGGCGGTGAGCAAAGGGGATAGCCAGTAAGCATGGGGCTAAGGAGGGGAAATGAGAGGACTTGGGGGGGAAAAAGGGTTGAACAAAGGGGAATAGAGAGTAAACAGGGTGGAAAGATGGGTGAGTACAGGGGGAAAGAGAGTGACCAGAGGGGGAGAGAGTGAACAAGGGGTAAGGGAGTGAGCAGGGGATTTTAGGGGCGAGCACAGGGGGAAATAGACCGAGCAGGGGGGAAATGGGTGAGAAAGGGGGAAAGAGGGATGAGAACAGGGGGAAAGAAAGTGAGCAGGGGGGAAGAGAGTGAGCAGGGGGGAAGAGAGTGAGCAGGGAGGGAGAGAGTGAGTATTGGAGTGAGCCGGGAAAACAGGGGC